TTATGAATATAATGGTAATTTGACAATTATTAAGGCTGTAATTCATATATTTCTATGATATGTTTGTGGAGTGAGGAGAGTGGCTATAAACTGTGTTGAATTTCTGCCAAGTGCCGCCTATAATATAGATATTATAGAACCGATAGAAGTATAGAACACTCATTTCTCGCAGTATATTATACAGAGTTTTATAATATAAATAACAATTTAATATTTAACTTCGGTATAATAGACGGTATAGTTGTATATGGTGTAGTTTCAAGTACTGTCAACACGCAGATTGTGTGCTTTAAATATAATGTCACCCCTGATGTTATATAATAATTATTAGCATCTGCTTGCAGGCGTTGTGTACTATAATTTAGGTGCTTATAATGCTTATATCATATATATATATATATATTTATGTATAGTAGTGGTACTACAGGCCGTATGATAAAAAAATAAAAAAAAAATGCCTGTTGGAACACCCAAGACGAAACGACGCGCGTCAACGATTCTATTTTAAATGAGTAAGTACCCAATTTTTTATTCTCTCTCTTATTCGGTGATGAAGATACGTTTAATTTAAAAGGAACAAAGAGATAATTGAAATGTGGGAGGACGAAATCATAAATACATTTTAAACAATGGTTTTAAAAATAAGTTTCATTCATTCCTCGTTCGGCGTGTTCGTMGTCGTTGTCGTCGGTATATCCTCGTCGTTATGCATATGCGTTACATATAGGTACACTTATTCGCTGTTTGCCAAATGAATGAAAAACAAAAAAATAAAGAATTTTGATGGTCTATCGGTTGGCCAAAAAGTGCAATCCATTTTCTATTTCGGGTACAGAAAATCTCGCGGACACCAAAAGTATTTTATCAGCTTATTTTTTTCTCCTTTTTGTTTTGGCAAGGTTCCCGAATGGAAACCAAATTTTTAAAAGGTATGCACCTTGCATACAAGCATGCAAACGTACGTTCCGCAATGACCTTTCAACGAAAATGCGATACTTGATATTTCACATGCGCACATATTATTATTATACCACACAGTCGGTAGCTCATGATATCTTGATAATAATATGTAAATGGACGACCGTATGGGTATATACAACGCGCATCATATCTGCTGATACAGCTAAAGTGCGAACACTATATCGGGATAAGCAATCCCGCGGCGTGAACGATGGACAAAACACAGTTATATAGAAGTTTAATGTGAATACATATACAGTGGCGTGGCGATGGGGGTAATCGAGAGGCGGCGGCCTCTCACTTTTTTTTGGTGGGTGATGGGCGACACTGGGTGAATGGGAAATAATTTAAATTCATAATAACGAATTCAGGAAAATAACACGGAAAATAATATTTTAATATTGTCTAATATTGATATATACGAAAGCTAGTGGGCAGTGGTTACTAACCATTAGTTGGTAATAATACCTACCTAATAAGTACAATCACCCTCCCCCCACTCTATTTCCAATTGAGAGACAAAATTATGGTTGACGGGTGGGTGGGTATCGCAAAATATACTTGCCTCTGAAAATATTCGAGTTCGCCACGCCACTGTACATATACATATATGATATATATACTACTATAATATGCAAAAGTTACTTACATATACTCACCATCTTCGCGTGTCAGTGGGCACTCTGTTTTAGTTTTGAGAGTGTTGGCCATATAGTATGTTTAACTCGTTTTAATTTTTAAATGAAAAAATAAAAATGTTTTTGCTATGATATCGATGTAGGTACCTAATCACTATATAATAGTA